TCATTTCACTTAAGAATGTCCTTGTTGAATCAGTAAAAAATGTTAATTTTATTAACTTTTTAATACTCTCCATACATGCCTTTTTGATATTCTGTGTAACAATGGGAAGCATATATAAAGTGTTTCTCCTGCTTGTCAAAGGATTGATTACACAAGGGAAAGAACTTGTGTAATTGAGTTGTGAGCTGAACTAGGTGCTTTTTTCATGGAATACCATTTTTTATTGAAAGAATGAAAGACATACTGTTGTTATTCTGACTTGGGTATTTGGCAGATATTTTCTTGAAAATGAACAAAGTGATCTGTCACATCAAGGAAAATAACCGACAGTATTTGTTCGTAATGATAAAATTCAGGCTTTCAGGTGAAATTAGAATTTTGGAAAATTTGTATCTGCCGTCATGAGCTTGACAGCTTCCCAGTACTTAAAGACTTTTCCGATGAGATTGGTGGTGATATTAACAAATATGTTTTTAAAAAATTCTTTGTAATTACATATGTCAACATTATCTGTATAACTCAGTAAACTAATATTTTCCAAATATTTTCCAATGCTTGATGTTACACACTCAGGCATGGATAAGAGTCATTCTAAATGTACAGTAGATCAATGGATTTTAATTTTACAGAGTATGAAAAATTCACTGTTAAGACTTCAGATTCCACATCGCAACTAATCTTTTAAAAACTGCCACGTTTTGATTGTTGTTATAACATTGAAGAAGACTATCCACAACTACTTGAAAAACTGTTAAAATACTTTCCTCTTTTCCTCCTGCATCTCTGTGAGGTTGGATTTTATTTATGCACTTACACTAAATGAATATGTTGCAACACATTGAAAGTCAGACATTAAAAATATTTGAAAAAATGCAAAACTGCCATTCTTTACTAAATTTTATGATAACATAGTTGTTTTCCAAAAAAATATGCAAGGCAAGGCCCAGTGGTGGCGCTTGAGCCCGGGAGTGTGAAGCTGTAGTGTGCTAAGGTGGCAGCTGTGAATAGCCACCGCATTCCAAACCAGGCAACATGAGAGACCCAGTCTCTCAAAAAAATAACGAAACCAAAATATGCAATTTATGTTAAATAAAATGGGTTTATTGCTATTTTTAAATGAATTAATAAGTATTTTTAAATTTTTTCAGTTAAAATTTCCAATGTGGTTAATATTGACAGATATAACCCATATAAACAAAAGCTCTATGGGATCCTCAATAATTTTTAAGAGAGTAAAGTGTTCCTGAGACCCAAAAATTTAAGAACCACTGCCCTATAGCAATTGTCATTGTCTTTTTAAACTGGAGGTATAATTTACATATTACACCTGAGCAAAGTGCTCAGATCTTAAAGTGTAAAGTCCAATGAGTTTTGATAAATAAATAACATTTGCATAACAAACACTGCGATCAAACTTTGGAACATTTCCATCCTAGAAGAGAGGGGCCTAAGAAAAAAAAGAAAGAAAAAAGAACAGAAAAGGCCAAGCCGGCACAGTGGCTCACACCTGTAATCCTAGCATTTGGGAGGCCAACACAGGAGGATCCCTTGAGGTCAGGAGTTCAAGACTAGCCTGTGCAGGAGCAGACCCCGCCCCTACAAATAGATAATAGAAAAATTAGCCAGGCGTGGTGGTGGCACGTGCCTGTTGTCCCAGCTACATGGGAGGCTGAAGCAGGAGGATCCCTTGAGCCCAGGAGTTTGAGGTTTGAACTGTGATGACATTACTGAGCTACGATGACACCATTGCACTATGGTTGGGACGACAGAGTGAGATTCCCTCTCCAAAAAAAATAAAATAAAATTTCCATCACCTTAGACAGTTCCCTTTTGTTTCTTTCCAGTCCTCTACCCTCTTACCTTGAGGCAAACACTGTTGTGTTTTCAATCACCATTACTTAATTTTGCCTGTTTTATTTAGAGTTTAATAAAAATGGAACCATACATTATAGATTCTTCTACATCTGGCTTCTTCACTCATGTCAAAGGTAAACACAGCTGGATGTTAGTCGAGGCCACAGATACAAGTTGTTTTCATTAATTACTAACCATAGGGGAAAGAGCTGAGCTCCATTCTGATTTGTACAAAGATGACTGGGCATTTTAAAGGGAGAATGAGGAGGGGAGAGAGTGGGAGCTCAGTAGAGTCAGAGAGCTGAGAAAGTACAAAGGGTTGGTCAGTGTAAATATGATTAGGCTAGCTGTGTCTGCTAGCTGACAGTTATCCAAGTTAGGATTCTATCCTCCCACAGAGACTGAGAGACAGAGGCCCCATCCTTCCTAATGATAACATTTCAAAGGAATGGCTCTCAGGTCTTTGAGAAAGACACTGCTGAGTTGTAAGAGATACATATTTACAATTGTAAGCTCTTTTTAGTACATGCTGTAAGAAAGAAAGGTCAGGGGCCTATGTCAGGTGTTGGCTGGGACAAACAGTAAATCCTTCTGACCCTGTTCCACTTTCTCAAGCTGGCATTTCAGTGGGGGGTGGGTGTGGGAGAGGGTGATTATGGTCATCTTAGGGACCCAGCCCTATGCTGCTAGAAGCCATGCTAGATTTTGGTCTAATGCGGTGTTTTTTTTTTTTTTCCTCGAGACAGAGTCTCACTCTGTTGCCCTGGCTAGAGTGAGTGCCGTGGCATCATCCTAGCTCACAGCAACCTCAAACTCCTGGGTTCAAGCGATCCTACTGCCTCAGCCTCTGGAGTAGCTGGGACTACAGGCATGTGCTAATGCGGTGGTTTTGATGGAGTTGTTAGGTACTGAGAGTTCTGCAGTTCTCATTCAGCTTTTGAGATTCATGTTAATGCATATATCAGTAGTTTATGCTTTTTTTTTTTTTGCTGCTGAGTAGTATTCCATTATATGATTTACCTCAGTTTATCTGTTCTCTTATTGATGGACACTGAGTTTTTAATTTCTGGAAATAAAATTGTGAACATTCTTATATGTCTTTTTGTGAACACGTTTTCATTTCTCTTAGGTTAATACCTGTCTTTTTCTTTAGTTTGTGATCTCTGCCGGCATTGAGCCCCTGAGTGCCTAAAACTTAATTCTTAGTAATATTTCTCAGTGAATTAGAGATGAATTCAAACTAAATAAGATATGTCATAGTGCACAGTGCAGTAAACTGGGCCTCAGAAAACCTCAGTTCTAGTCCCAACTCTGCCTCTAATCAACAGGTCATACAATCTCTCTGGATTTCAGGTTTCCTCTCGTAAGTGAAGGAATTATATGAAGTGATCTCTAAGAATTCCTTCTAGCCCTAATGTTCTATGATCCTAAGTGGGAAGAATTGATGGGAGTTATGGTACAGGTGAAGAAGAGATTATGAAAATGTTAGGACAACAGATTCGATGGGAGCGTGCTATAGTAGACATTGTTACTTTCTGGTGTTCCTGTGGTAATGTCGGGAAAAAGCTGATGATATATATTGTGGAGTTTACTTTCCAAAATGATCTTATCTAAGGTTAGGTTACTTGTTCGTGAAAAGGTAAGACAGAGAAATCTGTAATTTTATATCTTTGTTGATAATATAGTTGCTAGAATTTTGATCATTTACACCGTAGATATTTAGAAAAGATACTGGTTTGTTTTGTTGTTTTGTTTTTTTTTTTTAAACAGAATCTCACTTTTGTTGCCCAGGCTAGAGTGAGTGCCGTGGTGTCAGCCTAGCTCACAGCAACCTCAAACTCCTGGGCTCAAGCGATCCTCCTGCCTCAGCTTCCCAGGTAGCTGGGACTACAGGCGCAAGCCACCACGCCCGGCTAATTTTTTATTTCTATTTTTAGTTGACTTGCTAATTTTTTCTATTTTTAGTAGAGATGGGGTCTCGCTCTTGCTCAGGCTGGTTTCGAACTCCTGAGCTCAAGTGATCCTCCCGCCTCAGCCTCCCAGAGTGCTAGGATTACAGGCATGAGCCACCGTGCCTGGTCCTGATTTGTTTTATTGAGAAAAAGTATCTAACAGCAGGAAATGGCATTTGTTTATTGAGAAATTAAAATATATGAGACATTTTTTAGATCACCTAGAACAGCAGTCCCTGGCCTTTTTGGCACCAGGGACCGGTTTCCTGGAAGACAGTTTTTCTACAGAGTGGGTGGAGGATGGTTTCAGGATGATTCAAGCATATTATATTTATTGTGCATTCTATTTCTATTATTACATTGTAATGTATAATGAAAGAATTATACAACTCATCATAATGCAGAATCTAATGCAGCCGCTTATCTGACAGGAGGTGGAGCCCAGGCCTTTGCTTGCCTCCTGCTGTGTTGCCCAGTTCCTAATAGGCAGATTCCTAACAGGCCGGGGTGACAGCTGTTGGGGACCACAGACCTAGAAGACCCTGGCCCTGCTGCCTTCCAGAAAGTGTTGTTCATTTAAATATAAACCTTGGCTTTTAAAAAAATTACCCTAACAAGGAATTATCTTTGTTGAATAAATGGAAAGGAAAAGGTATGAGCTTCCCCACATTCTTCTGGTCTCCAAGGATGATGTTCTTAATAATAGTAAACTAAAGTTATTTTCTTGTGATTTGAGAGTCAAGTTTAGTGACTTATAAGTGTTTTCCCTTTCTCCCTCAGATTTGGATCATACAGCGGATGTTCAGTGAGTATAGCTAGAGTTTGTTACCTTGAAACTGTCTTTATATAGAAAACCTGAATATTTTGATCTTAGTGTCCCTTAGTTTTAATTTTTCTCCTCTCATTTTGGTTCCTTCACAACATGAAAATGATGGTTAAAAAGCACCCAATTTCAGTGTCATTAAATTGGTTGAGGCACTGATTTAGCTGTGTATTTATCATATTGATTTTGTTTTTTTAAATTTTTGTTTATTTATTTTTAGAGACAGAGTCTTGCTCTGTCACCTGGGCTAGATTGCAGTGGTGTGATCATAGCTCACTGTAACCTCAAACTCCTGGGCTCAAGTAATCTTCCTGCTTCAGCCTCCTAAGTAGCCAGGACTATAGGAATGTGCCACCAGGGCTGGCTAAGTTTTTTCATTTTTTTAGAGATAGGGTCTCACTATGTTGCCCAGGCTGGTCTCGATCTCCTAGCCTCAAACAATCCTTCTGTGTCAGCCTCTCAACATGCTAGGATTACAGGCATGACCCCCTGCACCCAGCCTCATACTGATTTTATTTTGACTTTGCTGTCAAGTTTTCTTCCTTGTAATGGATTATGTTACACATAGCACGAATATGTTTCTTTAGGTTACATGCATGGGGAGATACTCTGGAGGAAGCATTTGAGCAATGTGCAATGGCCATGTTTGGTTACATGACAGATACTGGGACTGTGGAGCCCCTCCAAACAACAGAAGTAGAAACCCAAGGTAACGTATTTATTCACAAGAAAGAAATTGTTATATAAATGTGCAGTGTTCTACATAATCTGAGTATATTTTCACAATAAGAACAACAAAATTGATCATGAGCCTGTTCTTCCTCTTTCAACTAGCCTAAGAAATCCATTGCACTTTTAAATTCAAATAAATTTTTAGAGACCAGAATTATTAAACAACATACTGTTACGGCTTTTTTTGGTCCTGTGTAGGAGATGACTTACAGTCTCTTCTGTTTCACTTTTTGGATGAATGGCTTTATAAGTTCAGTGCTGATGAATTCTTCATACCCCGGGTAAGCAAAGGTTTTTCTTTTTTACTGACCAAATGGGTTCTTTGTTTATGTTTTAAAATAAACAAGTGAGTTAAAATAGAACATGTGATGCAAAAACCAAACCATAAAGATATGTAAGATATTTATTTGCAGAAATTATAATGACTACAGGCACTTCCTGGTTAACCTGACCTTAACTATGTATTAATGTAAGCATTTTGTATTTAGATCTCTGATCATGTACTTATTACTAATCAGAATTGTGTGATAAGAGTGTACCTGCAGTCTTCATTCACACTTTTTGTTTCCCACATTTGAGCTATATTTACCTCCATCCATATGTTCTTTTTGTTCATTTGAAATGTAGCAGCTCTGTCAATTGCTGCCTTTAGTTTTCCTTAACTTGAAAAAAGGAAAAGCCAAATGGAGATTGCTTGCTACTGTCAACCTGTAGAAGGGAACAGCTTTCCAGCATCATTGTTATCTAACACAGATGACCCTCTCTGCTTCCTTAACTCCTCCATTCTCTTCCTTACCAGCTCCGCTACATATACTCTACCAGCTGAGCTACTCAACCTACAGAGTTCAAGTGCCTACAGTATTATATAAAATAGGCTGTGAGTGATTGAAATCCTATATCCTCTTCCTCTATCGTGTATCTTTCAGAGAAATTCTTTGGACTTATGTTTTTAGATTGTACATTTTTCAAGAATACCTCCTTTGAGTATGTAAGAAAAAACATTTCCTTGAAATATATTTAGTTTGTTGTTCTACTTTAGTTAACATTTTAATTGTCTTTGCTTCAGAGAAGTTGTATGCTATTATTTTCTAGAAAAGGTGCTAACCTAGACATGTTTCAGTAGATGGCCTATTATGAACATTTTAATTAAGAAAATTTTTTTTCCTTTTTAGGAAGTGAAAGTACTTAATATTGATCAAAGAAATTTCAAATTACGCTCAATTGGGTAAGTTTTGAAACTCTTTTCAGTACCAGATCATGAAAGATGTTAAAGTTATATTCTTCATTGAACTCAGTGGGCAAGAAGACAGACAGAAATGTGAGTTAGTGGATCACTAAACTCTACCTGTGAAGTAGGGCTTTGGAGATTGACTTTAGTGAGACACCTAGGAGTAGGAGTGAGGGCTCACCTAAGCTTTGAAGGACTAGAAACTTGTCAGAATAAAGTCAATTCTGGTTGTTAAGCCTGATTCCCAATTCATTGATTTTTAGGGAAAAAAAAAATACATATATATATCTCAAAATACAATTGCTAAATGGCACAGCATTAAATAAAGCCCAGCTTGGTGGATGGGAAACACTGACACATCCTTTCTCATAGATCCTCACTTCTCCACCTATTTAAACCCGTTCTTTCTGTTATACTTGATCTTAGCCAAAAGGCTTAGAAGCAAGTACCAGTTCCTTCTATTAACAAATTATACTTTTCTTTTCCTCCCAGAGTTTGCAAACACTTGATTAGGTCATTCTGATTGGTCTTGTTTCCCAAGTTTCTTCAGTCACTTAATTATATCTTTTAGGTTATTTCTAGATATAGCTTATCTTTTCCATTTTATTTTATTTAATTAATCTTTTGTTTTGTTTTAAGAGACAGGGTCTTTCTATGTTGCCCAGGCTAGAGGGCAGTGACTATTCACAGGGTCAATCATAGCTCACTATAGCCTCAAACTCCTGGGCTCAAGCAATCCTCCTGCCTTAACCTCCTGAGTAGCTGGGACTATAGGCACATACCAGTGTGCCTGGCCCCCTTTTTTATTAAATTTCATTAGTTTCCTTTTGTAAAGTGAGGTCTCTTATTATCTCCCCCTACTTTTTTTTTTATTCTTAAAGGGTAAGGAAACACACCTGTCCAAACGTATTTAACTAATAAGTGAACAGAATTTTAAAACTTTGCTCTTTGTACTACACCATGTTGTGATTTTCAGCCACATTAGTGTCATAGGGAGTTTGACACTAATGTGTTCTAGCAGCCTTCTTTATACAGATCATGGGCATTTTTGGAAAAGTTGTAAAATGCAAATCAAGTTTAGATCATATTACAGAATCTAGTATTTTGCCTTTGTAGTACTCAGACCTGCTTTCTCCAATGGGAGATGTTATTTAATTAGTTTTATAGCTCTGAGTACAGTAAAATTTTGAACACGCTACTCTATTATGAAAGAATATTTATTAAACAATGTTCATTGAGAGTCCAGCGTGGCCACACTATATTGGGGCACTTTTATTTTGAGAGGAACTATCAACCTTGAGAGTAGCCAGTGCCTGTTGCACACAAGTTCCTTAACATCTGTGTCTTCTGACAAATCAAAATGAAACTTATAGTTGCCCTACCCCTCCATCTCTTTTGGCTTTAACCACATTTATAAGGCTTATTTAAAAACATATGGAGAAAAAGTGTTAAATCTTGGAAGTCTTAATCATGTTTTAATTTTCCTTCTCAAGGTGGGGAGAAGAATTTTCATTGTCCAAGCACCCTCAGGTATGTTTCAAAATCCAGCCCTTGAAAACATTAAAAACTTCCTTACCATAAAGTCCGTATATGTGACAGTAAACTTCAGCTAGTTCTAATAATTTGTATAAAGTGATAGATTTTTCTCAAATTTCTCTGATATCAGGATATATTATGTTAAAATACTGTGATTTCACACATCTGATTTGGTGGATTAGGAGTTAGCACTGGGTTCCGGGGTCAGGTTTGCTCAGATTGCTGTGGGCCTTAAAAGCCCCTTTGCCTTTTCGAGCTTTGGTTTCTTCTCCCATAATGAAGATGTTGGACTAGATACTCACTAAAGTACCTTCTACCTTTTGTGCTTCTCTAAATTCTGTATTTGCCGACCTGTATGGCTTCACTCTGTTATAGTCAAATCTGTTGGAACAGGGATTGGCAAATTTTTTCTGTAAATGGACACATAATAAATGTTTTACGATCTGTGGGCCAAAAGTGATAGAATAGCAGCTACTCAGCTCTTTGGTTGTAGCACTAAATCAGCCATAGACAGTACATAAATGAATGTGGTTGTATTCTAGTAAAACTTTATTTTTGAACATTGAAATTTGAATTTCATAGTATTTTCAAATGCCATGAAATAGTATTCTTTTGATATTTTTTACCAACCATTAAAAAATAAAAAACCATTCTTATTTTATGAGTCTGTACAAAAATAGGTAGCATGCCAGATTTGGTCTGTGGGCTATATTTTGATGACCCCCTACATTTAGGCCAAGGAGGCCTAAATTAGTATAGGTGAGTGGAATATCCTGGTTGCTTCCAGTAGCTGCAGTATCATTTCTTCAATTACAATGTAATGAAATGAAGTCTGGTGAGGGTGCCTCAGTGGAGAGAAGCATAAAGCAGAAAAACCAATAGGGAGAGGCATGTGAATTGAAAATGAATTTTTTTTTCTTTAGAGACAGGGTCTTGATCTGTCACCCAGGCTGGAGTACAGTGGCACAGTCATAGTTCACTGTAACCTCCATTTCCTGGGTTCAAGCAATCTTCCTATCTCAGTCTCCCAAGTAGTTGTGACTACAGGTGTGTGCCTCCATGCCTGGCCTTCTTTTGCTTTTTAAACTACATTTTAGAAAAAGAAATAATTGGCTGGATGCGGTGCCTCATGCCTGTAATCCCAGCACTTTGGGAGGCCAAGGCGGGAGGATTGCTTGAGGACAGGAGTTCAAGACCAGCGTGGACAACATAGTGAGACCCCCCGTCTCTGCAGAAAAAATAAGGAAAATTATCCAGGCATGGTGGTGTGCACATGCATTCCCAGCTACTCGGGAGGCTGAGGTAGGAGGATCGCTTGAGTCCAGGAAAATTGAGACTATAGTGAGCTATGATTGTGCCACAGCACTTCAGCCTGGACAACAGAGTGAAACTCTGTCTCTAAAAAATGAAAAAATAAAAAACAAAAGAAGTCTTAGAATCTTTGACTATTAATTATATGCATATTTGCAAAAGGTCTGTTTTACACACAACACATAATAAAACCTTTTTCCTCTTGTTTTTCACTTGGAATTTCCCTTTTGTTTCTTGTCATAAAACAAAAAATAAATAATCTGCCACTTGTTTCAATTATCTGTAAATGTTATGTCAACTACAGTGCTGTTTTAGAATTTAACATATTAGAGAATCTATGTACCCAATATAAGTAATCTTATTTTAGAGTTTTGCCAGTGTGCCAGTTTTACTACTTGTTTTTTGAATGAATGATCAAATAACCTTTCAAAGCAAAAAGGACTTTTATGAATAGCATATTAAAATATCTGGTCCCTGGTTTAATAATATCTTCCTCATTTTAATGTTGTCCTCTCTCTACTAATCCATGTCTTATCCATCCGTTAATTCATACATACATTCAGCAAGTATTTATCAAATGCCTACAATGTGCCAGACATTTTTTAAGGCACTTTAGGTAGAGACATAACAGGACAAATGAGGTCTCTGCACTTACTGAGGTTAAAATCTAGTAGGAGAAGAAAGCCAGACAAACACATAAACAAATAATATAATTTCAGTTAGTGAACAGTGCCATCAGGGTAAGGTAAGAATGGTTGGAGGAGGGGAAAGGGTGGTCAGAAAAAGCATATTTGAAGAGATGACATTTGAGCACAGGCCAGAGAAATGAGAAGTGAACGGAAATATGGGAGAACCATTTTAGGCAAAAGAAACAGATGTAAAAGCTCCAAAGTGAGGTAAGTTATGTTAAGGAACTGCAAGCTAGAGCTGAGAGAGAGAAGGGAGGATAGGAGGAGGCAAGGTTGTACAGATAGGGCTACAGCCTCTTTGGTAAATGTTGGTAAGGGAGGGTGTGGGATGGAGTACTCAATTGGAGAAGTTGGCTGTCTGATAGGAGCAGGGACAGGGCACTCATTGTAACTGGAGGAAAGGCTAATGTGAGTACAGATATGGCAGGATGCTAGATTTGACGGTGGCAAGATGAGTCAGTTCTATTGATTGTAATTTTCTTTAGGAAGCACAGTTGATTGAGAGTGAGAATGAGGGAGGGATGCTAGAGGAGAAGATGTGAAATAATTGTCTCAGAGAGTGAGAAAGGGAATTTAGTGGTAAGTGCTGGAGTACTGGTCAGTGCTGAATGCCTGTTGAGATCTGTGGACATATATTTAAGGTGATACCAGTTAGCATGGTGTTGAATTTGATTTAGGTTGTGCTTTTGCCAAGTGAGCCAAGTGATTATGGCAGAGGGGAAAAAGCAAAGGTGGTGCCACTCAAATCCTTCTGTGAAATCTTCAAATCTTTTGTGATATGGAACTAGCCAATGCCATTCACCTATTGCTTGATACATTTGGTGGCGCACAGAATTATTATAGATTCTTTTTAGAGCTGGAAGGAACCTAAGAGAACCATCTAATCCTATGGTTCTAAACTAGGGCAGGGTGGGGTAGAGTGTCATGTATCAGAATTGCGTGGAGAGCTTTTGACCTGGGAAACTGTATCTCACTCTTCAGCTAGACTTGGAAATGGAAGAATCCCAAGAGGTGAAGTGAGTATTGGCAGCTGAGGAGAAGAGAATAGGTTGAGTTCCCAGGGTCAGTATGAGGAGGTGGTTTCGGGCTTGAGAAGGAGCCCTGAGCTAAACAGTAGAACAGCTTGTGTTCTTTGATTCAACCAGTTATGTAAATGAAAAATCTGGTGCCCAGTTAGGTCAGACAACTTCCAGGTGGAAACAAAGCCAGGATTAAGAGTTCTAACTCCTAACTCCACTGTGCACATATTGCCTCCCGTGCCTGCTGGACCAGTGTATAATACTGTATTAATTTGATAGCTATTTGTTTCACGAGTTTTTAGCTTTTTGGAATAATGCTAAAATTTTGACTCTCTGCCAGTTGTTGCTAGAGTTAATGATTCTGACTTCAGTGTCCTTTTTTCCTATTTGTTTTTTCTCTAACCCCAACTTTAGGGAACAGAAGTCAAAGCAATAACATATTCAGCAATGCAGGTCTATAATGAAGAAAAGCCAGAAGTTTTTGTGATCATTGACATTTAAGACACCAAAAAAGAAAAGAAAAGAAAAAGACTCCTGTGAAGAACTGTTTTTTTCCTCTTCCTTTTGAGAAGATATTATGATTTAAATTCTATATTTTCTTTTGATACATGGGAATTTGCAGAACAGAAATTTTTAACTTAAAGTATGACTTTTAGAAATAGAGAATCAGGGCACAGCCTTGGTCTCTGTTTCCCAATATTCAAACTTTAAAGACTTCTTCAGTTCTTGAGGGGCAGTTATGGTCCTTCATTTGTTCGTTCCCTGCTGTGGCAGCAGGTGCCTCATGCCCTTCCAGTGGGATGCAAGCCCTCCAGCGTGGTCCTAGAAGGGATCACTGATGTAAGCAGCAACCTGGGACTGAATCCAGTTCAAAAAAAGAATAATTTGAGAAAATACATTTCTATATCTAGAATTTTTCTTTTCTTCCAAGTTGGTTAAAACATATATAATCTATATGTATGTTAAGGGAGGTCATGTTTTAGTCTGCTTGTAGGACAGAGCCATCCTGTATTCCAGTTGGTTTTCTTAGAAGAAATAATCAGAAGACTTCTCTAGAAAGAGTCCTGATTTTCTCTGTCACTCTTCTACTTTTTTTTTAAAGCACTGATGATGACACTCCTATTTTCTCATAAGAAAAATTCAGGCTGGGCACAGTGGCTCATACCTGTCATCCCAGCACTTCAGGAGGCTGAGGCAAGAGGATCACTTGAGGCCAGGAGTTCGAGGCTGCAGTGAGCTATGATGATGCCACCACATCTGTCTCAAAAACAAACAGACAAAAAAAAAACAAGAAAAATACACTACTATACCTTACAAATGGACCCTTCCTTCTAACATGGTAATTTTATTTTAAAGCCAGTATATGTATACAGCTAGAGAAGAAAAGGAGAATTTTTTTGATTTCTTTGTTGCTTTTAAACTAACTAAGCTATTCATCTTTAAGGAGACAGGAGGCCAGGAAAACCATCTTAAAACAGTCTGAATGTTTAAAAGTAGATGACTTTTTAAAAATGAAACTGTTTTAACTTGATTTGCAATTTTTTTCTAGTATCTGTTGATTGAGGTATTCTCTCTTGTGATCAAGCGTTTGCAAAGTTGCTATTTATTCACATGAACATAAGAAAAGATTGCCACTGGGTGGTGCTAAATATCACCTGTTGAACTTGGACTAAAAGGAAAGGATTAGCTTTCTAAGTGCTCTGAGTACTGTATTATTTTAATCTGGGTATTTAACAGAAAATAGGGTTAATGAAGACTAGGCCAAGAGCCTGTGGTTTGAAAAGCAGCTCTTCGGATGAATATGTAGCACTCTCACTGGGGTAGTGCTTCTTAACCTTCTTTATATGCAGGTATGGTTTGTAAATTTGAATTGTAGCTCCCCAACAAAAACATCCAAAAGAACCTCTTTACCTTTTGTTAGGGCAGATTTCCAGGCTGAGATGGGGCTCTTCTTTTATGAACCCCTTTGCATATCATGGGCTAATGGGGGCTTAATTGTGAAAACGAACAGTGGAAGACCATGAAGGCAATGAAAGAGCCAAATCCAGAGTAAGAATAGTGTGAGAGTTGGGATATCTTAAAACCAAGTGGGGTACAAACTTGCTTAGGGAAAAAAGTGTGAGCCGTATCTCCTACCACCAGCACTATATAATGGAGTTCAGTAAAAGCAAGTCACATGTAATTATGCCATACAAATTACATTTTTTAATTTATAAGAAATTTATAATTTATTGTATTTTAATATAAACTTCAAAATTGTGTTAGTTTTAAAGTATGCCAAAATGAAGGTACTGAATAGAAGGAAAATAAATATGTTACCCTTTATATGTAGAATTAGCATTCTTGGTCCATAAGCAGCAATGCACATTTTATTTGTTTAATTTTAGTTTTTTAGTAAAGTGGTTACACTGGCTGTCACCGCACTTTTCTGCTAGTTTCAGCGATGTGTTTTGGCCTAGGGAGCAAATTTTCCCTCATTGCACAGCTAATTAGTGTATGAGAACTAAACCTTATTCTTATATGAAAACTGTCCTAGTTAGAAATATCTCAACATTTTCTCTCACACCATGATGTACTCAGTCATTTTTACTTCTCTGTCTCATTCTCCTTTCTGGACTGTCTTTCCTATTCCTAAATTAGGGGTAGCAAACCCACCGCCCAGAGAGCCAGGTACGTAATGGGATTGTCTGTAAGTGTTGAGCTTAGAGTTTACACAGTGTCTAAGCTGCCTCAGCTATAACCCTTGTTGACACTGGGAATACAAGCCAAGTGTTGAAGTTTTTTGTGACATCCCAGAAATTGGGATTTTTATGCGAAAACTCCCAATTTTTTGGAAGAAAACACTGACTCATCATAGTGAGGGGCAAACAGATCATGTGCAGAGGCTGAATCTGGTCCACAAGTTCTAGTTCACCAGCTCTGCTTTAAAGCCTACCTCAAATCCTGTCACTGGGAAGCCTCACTAACCTTTCCAGCCATCAGTGATTTTCTCTGAACTGTGCATGTCTGCATAGCTTTAATGATTTGCCAGCTTACTCAATTTTATAATGTTTAATGTTTGCTAGTCTTGTCTCTGATTAGAAAGAAAACTCCGGCCAAGCGCGGTGGCTCACGCCTGTAACTCTAGCATTCTGGGAGGCTGATGTGGGAGGATCGCTTTAGCCCAGGAGTCTGAGGTTGCTGTGAGCTAGGCTGATGCCACAGCGCTCTACTCAGGACAAGAGTGAGACTCTGTCTCAAAAAAAAAAAAGAAAGAAAGCTCCCAGATGGCACATAATAGATGGTCATTCACTACTTAATGATCAATGGATTAAGCATTTTAGGATAAAACTGTTAGACAGAGACTGGAGGTCAACTTCTTGAGCGAATCTCAAGTCTCAAGCCTTGATTTCTAACCCTTGCTCTACTAACCTTGGACCTACTTCCTTATCTATTTATTATTGGTATTAGTGATTTCTCAGTTCCTTTCCATTTCTAAGTTTCTGTGATTCAGTAACATATTTTAAAGAATTCTGCTAGCTGAGAAAGAAGGTATTTGTTAAGTAACAGTTTTTGGTTGTTTGTTTAGCCTAAAAGATCCAAATCACACCGTCAGGGTCTATTCACCTACTCTAATCTGACAGCTGTCGTCATGGTATGGTAGTGTGTAACATACGGCAATGACTTTTCAAGAAAGTAATAATAGTGGTATGATCATTTATCACTGTGCCTCTCTCTCTAAGAAGGTTAAGTTGTTACGAGTCCCCACAGCCACACTTGCCAATTCTCTTTCTACTTGGGCTTTGGAAGAGAATGTTCAAAGAAACAGTTCGTACCCTCCTCAAGGTTGGCGAAGTGCCATCCTGAGCTACAGTACTGGCTTATACCTCCCACCCCATCTGTCCTTCAGGGCTTGGGGATTTCCAGATTCTTTGCAATAAAAAGCCCTGAATGATCTCAATAGTACTAACTTTGCCACAGAAAGACTGAGATGGAGAATTTGGTTTCCTCAGCTCAGAAACCAGGAAATTAGAAAAGATACTCAGGCTGGGCGCGGTGGCTCATACCTGTAATCCTAGCACTCTGGGAGGCCGAGGCGGGCGGATTGTTTGACCTCAGGAGTTCGAAACCAGCCTGAGCAAGAGCAAGACCCCGTCTCTACTAAAAAAAATAGAAAGAAATTATCTGGACAACTAAAAATATATAGAAAAAATTAGCCGGGCATGGTGGCGCATGCCTGTAGTCCCAGCTACTCGGGAGGCTGAGGCAGGAGGATTGCTTGAGCCCAGGAGTTTGAGGTTGCTGTGAGCTAGGCTGACGCCACGGCACTCACTCTAGCCAGGGCAACAGAGTGAGACTCTGTCTCAAAAAAAAAAAAAAAAAAAAAAAAAAAAAAAACCCCCCAAAAACCCCCCCCAGAGCAAACGTTGTCAGAATCTAGTGATTGTAGTACTTTATCAAAGTTATTTCCCATCTAATATGCTATGTGCATTTTTTGTTTTATTATCTGAAATGAATAATTGCTTAATGTTAAATTCTGGACATGCAAGAAAAGTACTTTTAGAAAGGGCCAACATTTATTTTGTCACAAACACATCTAGGTCTCCATTATATAAAACATTTTTCCAGATGCTTTCACCTGGAAATTATTACCTATTTGTCCTTCAAGCAATTTTACATATGGTACATTTATTCTATGTTTTATTAACAAGACCATCTGTCTACAAGGGGCAGATTTGGGACTTCAGACTTTGTTCAGTATATTTGTATAACATCCTTTAATATATAACAGATCACATTTATGTTTCTTCTGACCCAAGTAATAACCCTTTGAGGTGAGCACAGCAGCTATTAGGTTTTTTAATAAGGAAACACTTAACATTTGGATGATATTTGTAAGGTGTAACTCAAAAGAAAGTGGCTGGCAAGGACTGTCCCATTTTCTCTGACATTTATTCTAAAAGTTCAAAAAGTATTTATTTAAATAAATTAGCCAAAAAATTTTAGCTGCAGAATTATCTGGTTTCCTAGAATAAGACACTAGAGAATAGTGGATTTCTACTGTTTCTCCCCCTTGCCAAATAATACAACTGGGTGTTTTAAATTACCTTCAAGTATAAGCATCATGGATGCTATAGTCATGAGTTTAAGTCCTGACCCTGCCACTAATTAGCTGTATGACTTTGGGAAAATTTTTAAACTTCTCTGAGCCTCAATTTCCTCATCTGTAAAATGGGGATAATAACTATTCACAGAACAGTTGTCCCCAGCTTCGCTAGGCCAGTTAAGAATATTATTTTGCAAGATAAGAGAAAGGGAGTAATTTTGAGATTACTCTTAGAATTTAAACACTAATGTGCTAACATTTTTATTTTGAGGATATTGAGTGCTTTAATAGCACAAATGAGTCATCACTGGGTTTCAAATCTTGGTTGTGCCACTTACTAACTGCACTTTGGGCATATTGCTTAACCTCTTTGTGCCTTCATTTCTTTGTCTTAAGTGGCTATGATAATAGTGCTTGTAGGGTTGTTGAGAAGATTAAATGATTGTATATATATAAAGCTCTCACAACAGTGCCTGACACATAGTAAATGCTCAATAAGTGCATTTTTATTAGGATGAGCATAAACACTATCAACTCCCCTTCCTCCCTCTAATTCTAAAAAAGGTCCCCAGTGCTTGGT